GTAGTATATTGACCAAATTACTTTTTTCAATTAATTAATCTTTTTATGTAAGGTTTTGGTTGAAGTGAAAAAGTTAATGTCAAGAGTGGGATTCGAGCCCACGACCGTCGGCTAAATACGCCGCTGCTCTACCACTTGAGCTATCGTGACTTCGATCCACTCGGAGACCAACTTCCCATCCCAACCTGGCCGAAGGTCGTGGGTTCGAATCCCGCTCGTAGCACTAGCTTTTTCATTTCAAGCAGAACGTTACAAAGAAAGATTAAGTGTAGTTTATTGAAAAGATAAAAAGAGGAAAAATGGCAGCACACCCTAAGGCCGTGGGTTCCAATCCCGCTCGTGACACTGACTTTTTTATCTCAGCCAAGAATTTACATAAAAAGAATAATTAATTGAAAGAAATAACTTGGTCAATTGACCACTAAAACGTAAATGGATTAATATTATGAAAATTTGAAACTCATAACTTTCTAGACTGAAATTTAACTACAAGTTTCTTCTGTTAAAACTATGTTGTAAAGTAAGTTCTAACAGACAATACATAAATTTTGGCATTAAACCCTAATTTTTGTCAAAACTGCAAAAACATAGAAATATAGACAGTAAAAATAGATGATACCTAAATTCACTAAAACGACCACCGATCAATTTATGGGTCCCACCTTGGATAAATAAGTAATCAGTCTGACCGACTGGCCTCATTGTGTCAAAATATTTAAAAAACCTACTTCCAATTGACATATTATCCCTGTACAGAAATCATTCCAAAAAGTCATCGCAGCCAATTAAAATATAATATTCTAATAACCTAATCAACACTGATCATTTCATGAATTTGACTGTGCCTGAAAAATCACAAACTCTTTGGTAGACGTCGTCAATGTCATTGCATAACAATATCGACTTAATATAGCCAAGATAGTCCGAAAATGAACGATATGGGACCACCCAAACGTTGATAACATGCCAGCGTTAATTTCAAGGTATGTTAAAACTTCAGCGATGACATACAGAACAAATTGCTTGCAGCTGTTCTACCTTTCTTCCCAGCTTGGTTTTTTTTTAAATATCTCATTGTTATCTGATCTACTTGTAAAGTCGTTACGGTTTTCCAATTTATCAAGCAATTTTTTTGGCGATGTCAAAGTTAAGACCGAAAACAATCAACTTGGAAGGGAAAATTTGGTGTTTTAAAAAAAATAAATATGTAATAAAAAAATTTAAGAAATTGTGCTCACAAACTTAAGGTTTTTCGTTTCCAAGAAATATGATTTCATTGTTTTTGTTATTAAAAAGAGTTAATATTATTTTTTAATGAATATCTATTCAGTAGGGAACCGCGGTGGTCGAGTGGTTAGGACGTCGACACCCAAAGGGTAGATGGAAGTTATGCCATTTTCTCTGACTGGAATTACTTCAGTTAACTTTCAGTTTTCACTAAATTGATTTTGCATAAATCTTTACAGTCAGAAAATTTACATAGCGCATGGATTTAAACATTATATTATATAACATGTAAACATTACTACTTGCTTTTTTTAAAATGTCTCATTGTTTTCTGATCTACTTGTAAAGTCGTTACTGTTTTCCAATTTATCAAGCAATCGTTTTGGCGATGTCAAAGTTAAAACCAAAAACAATTAACTTGGAAGGGATAATTTGGTGTTTAAAAAAAAATATATATGTTATATAAAAAAAATAGAAGAAAATTTGGAAAATTGTGCTCAAAAACTTAGATTTCCTTTTTTATTTCGATTGCAATAAATTGATTTCATTTTTAAAATATTATTTTGTTATTAAAAATATTTAATATTATTTTTTAAGCAATCCATTCAGTATAGAACCGCGGTGGTCGAGTGGTTAGGGCATCGACACCCAATGGGTAGATGGACGTTATGCCCTATCGATTAATTAAGGTTTTTAGTTTAGATAAAAAAGTCAGTGTCACGAGCGGGATTCGAACCCACGATCTTCGGCTAGATGCACCGCTTTTCTACCACTTGAGCTATGGTGACCTCGATCCACTCGGACACTAACTTCCCATCTCAACCCTCCCTTTTGAATTTTCCCTCCTTTTTTGTAATTTTTCAAATGTCGTGTAATCTATTTGATTCTCGGCGACAAATACGTATCTAGCCGAAGATCGTCGGTTCGAATCCAGCTCGTGACACTGATTTTTTTATCTCAACTAAAAATCTTAATTAATTGAAAGATATTAATTGGTCAAGCGGACTACGAAAACTAGTGAAGTTATGCCCAATTCTGTGACTGGAATTACTTTAATTAACGTTCTTTACAGTCAGAAAATATATATAGAGCATGGATTTAAACATTATATCATATAACATGTTTAATTGTAAACACTACACGACCAGATGGCAAAAAGAGTTGGATGCCGATGCTGCCTTGTCTACGTCTAATCAAAACTTCACCAAAACACCGATAAAACGTAGCAATTGATCACAGTTAATATGAAAAATAGTGCAGACTAGTGCAGTCCTTACAAACTGAGTTGACAAGGAGATATGAAATTTTTATTGTACTGTTATACAAATTGTTAAACTAGAATGTAGTCCCTTAGTTTTTGCATTATTTTGCTGTACCTACACTGCCCGTCAAAAAAAAACCGACCACCTGGTTTTTGCACTAAAAATGGCCAACTTTGGAAATACATAGTTTCTCGGCCTTTTAAGTCACAGACCTCCACTAGGACTATTTTTTAGAAAATTTTACGCTGAACAAGTTGGATTTTTAAATGTTTTCCTAGCGTCAATCTAAACTGCACACATCGAAACTGCAACTAACCAAAATGATGCGAAGCAACGGTTCATCATCTCGAAGACCAAAAGGGATTGTACTTACAGGTTTGTGAGCAAGGGAGGATCCAGGTTGGTCATCAGGGGGTGAGATAAAACATTTTGATTTTTTTAAGGCACAAAAGATCTAAAAATGTGCCAGTCGATAGAAAACAATACACATCGTTTTTCGGCCCAACGCAATACTTTCTCCTCCTTCAAAGGGAAAAACTGAAAAAAATAACTTGATTTAATAGTTTCAATACTTTAAATTTTAAAAGGAAAAAAATTTTCATATATTTCAAAAATGTTTTTCCGTCAGTCTGCAATGTCAATGTTTTTAGTCACCAACATTAACGAATATACAAAATTAATCACCAACTTAGAGATCATCATATCGAGAGATCGAATAAAAAGATAGAGGCGGAAATCATAAAAGCACCAGAAGGACATGTCTAATCACGAAAAATCATGGTCTGCAATTTTTACATTTTTTTGAGCAAGGGGCAGGAATTGGGCTTGGGTGGATTATGTATGTTTTCGAAAGCATCGAATAAAAATAGCGAGGTATTTTGAATAAAATTCACAGGCACAAAATACTTTAACAATGGACGTCTTTTATTTAAAAGAGACCAAGAGATCTATATACAACTATAAATGAAACCAAAGGCAAAAATAATTCCTAATAAACGTTATTAAAAAAATTATTCAGAAATCGTGAGATGCGGTCTGGTGAGATGTAGGTTTCAGAAAAATATTTTCTTTATCGTGCCAACGTTTCGATCTTTATTGAGATCATCTTCAGGACTCAAAGTGTTTGTCTTCTGTGTAATTGTGCCGATCTTGCGAGTCGAGTTGAGAGTGCCCCCACAATTACATAGAAGACAAACACTTTGAGTTCTGAAGATGATCTCAATAAAGATCGAAACGTTGGCACGATAAAGAAAATGTGTTTCTGAAACCTACATCACACCAGCCGCATCTCACGATTTCTGAATATTTATCGATTATTGGTCACTAATCACCACACACGTTATTAAAAAAATAAACAAAAATTATTATTCAAATTCCTAATAAAGTTAGTTATTAACGGTCACTAATCTCTACACATTCCTAATAAACGTTCAGAAATGGCGAAGTTGGAAAAATTAGCTTATGTTTCTAAAGTGGCATATAAAAATAATATATGCATATGAAAATAAGTTGTAGTTTGAGTAATGAGTACTCAAAAAACCATCGATGTGTAGACTAAGAGTCGATGGTCGTACTATCATCGATGGTGAGGTTCCGATGTTTAATCGATAGTATCCATCGATGTTTTTTTTATCGATGCTCATCCCTACCCGTGATACCATTGTCCATGGATGAATAAGAAACATTGAAGAAAAGAAACCTATAATATATTTATGTTGAAATATTAAAACTCAGACTCACTTATTGCGATCTCAGTATTAAAATTAATCCATTTACATTTTCGTGGTCAATTGACTGAGTTACTTCTTTCAATCATTTAATCATTCTTTCTATGTAAGGTCTTGTTTGAGATAAAAAAGATTGCAAATGGCAAAAAGAGGGAAAATTTGAACGGTTGTAGGTTGAGGAAAGTGGGTGTCCGAGAGGATTGAAATCACGATCGCTCAAGTGGTACAGAAGCGGCGTATTTAGCCAAAGGTCGTGGGTTCGAATCCCGCTCGTGCCATTGACTTTTTTATCTCAACTAAAAAATCTTAATTAATTGTAATATATTAATTGGTCAAGCGGACCACGAAATTAGTGAAGTTAAATTTTATGAGCAAATCCATGTAATAAATTGTTAGTTAAACTAAAGTGACACTGACTTTTTTATCTCAACCAAGACCTTACATAGAAAGAATAATTAATTGATTGATTAAAATTAGATTTCTGCCTACTTAACTATTTTATAACTTCATTTTGAACACTACGATCCTACCAGTTTATCCATTTGTATTAAAGTGTTTATTTCAACAGCATAAATTCAATAGTTTTCTTGTCGTGTAGTCGTAAGCCTAGTTTTCCTTCTCCAATCTGTAAACCAGGCGGTGCGACGTCTCATTTTTGGTTTATATAAACAAAATTGAATAATGGATAAATGAAAACGAGTCGGGGGTGTTTGTTGTGCCGTCTCCATGGAGCGGACCCACTTGTTGTCCATTAAACATTTACAACGGTTCTAGAACTCTTCTGCCCAGTGTGTAAAAAGACATCCAACGCTTATTGATGATATTGTGAGTATTGGTGTTTTTTTTAAATTAAATATATAGTAGGATTTAGTAGTTTGAGAGTATGTCCGGTCACACCTTATCAAGGAAATAAGCCTTGCCGGCATGGAGGGTAGTAATTACTTATTTAATTTGAATCGTTTCAAACAAACCGAAATCGATTTTACTTTTTTCAAGTTATTTTCCTACATAAGAAGCATTAACGCAACAATAAAACATATTTTTCTCTCTGTTTCTTACACAATTATGCCTAAAATAACAACATAAAATTCAATAAACATAAAAAGTTTTAAAAAGTTCGTCAAGCTTGGAAGGTGTCACCACGACTTTAAAATAATATCAATAATTCGCAAGATTAACTAATAAATCTATTTACAGTATTGAAGACAAGTGTAAAACTTATAGTTTCAAATATAGTGAATTTGAAGCAAATTTATTTCGTTTAAAAGCTTGATGAATTCTTTATCCTCATCAATAATGAAAATTCATAAATATGGGACTCATTGGAATAGTTTCAAATATTGCGAATTTCCTAGTTAATAGTAGTAAGAGATCTATAACCCATTCTACATCAGAATTGTTTCAGCTAAGCTTAAAATATAAATTTATAAATTGTATGTTTGACAAATTGGCATACAAAATACATTATCCCTTTGGCAGGTATAATTCAATTCATTTAATACAAATAAATTGGAAACTAGATAAAAATAAATAGTTTTAAACTTTTTTCAATCCCAATATGTATGTTAAATAAAATACTGATGTGCCAAATGCTTATTATGTATCAAAGAAAGGCTTAAGCAATGTGGTCATACGTTAGACCCATACCAATTCAATTTTATGATAACAAAACAGTATGGAAAATGCGTGACCGAATGTTTATAGACAGTTTTGTTAATAAAGGTAATTACGTTAAAAGTTTACCTTGTGTCTGTATTTTATTTTTCTTACAGCGTTGTTGTTATTCTTGTATATGTACATACTGTTATTATGCCTTATTTATTAAATTACATTAATGAATATGTAAGTTTTCTACCAAAAATTCTTTTGTGATAGGTCTGCTTGTTATTTTTGTAAAGTTGTATAAGTTTGATTATAAGTGTATCGTCTAAATATGTATAATTTTGTCGTTTACGGTCAACTTCTGTCCACCTTTCTTCACTGGGTTGCTGTTCGGTATTTCACGCATAAATTTGCCACGCTTGTGATCCTGGGTTCGAATTACGGCATCCCGTGGATTTTTAATTGAGAATAGTGTGATAAAAATATTGTAGAGTGGGTTGACCCTCGTTCGCGACACCCAACGTGTAGTTCGAAGTTAAAGCGGGGATCACACCCGATGCGACGCTACCCGACGCAAACCCAAATTCCAATTTTCCATAAAATTGCATTACCCCTGTGCACATCTTCCCGATGCTACCCTACTCTACGCTATACGTTCCCCACTGTCCAGATTTTCGTCGGGTAGCATCGAGTACAGTCGAAGACAAAAGAACCGGACACTCATATTTTTATTTCGAACTATATGTATTTTTGTCATTATATTAATTACAACATACTTATTTTAACATAAACCAAATTAAGCGAGAAAAATTAAAAATTCATTAGTTTTTATTAAAAAAATCAATTTTGAAGATTTGGCAGAAAATTGATCAAAACACCGGAATGCCATTTATTAATAGAATTAATTTAACTAACAATTTATTACATGGATTTGCTCATAAAATTTAACTTCACTAATTTCGNTTTAACAAACAATCTATTACATGGTGGAGCTCATACAATTTAACTAACAATTTATTACATGATTTTCTCGAAATAATACATAACAAAAGAGGCGTTGCGATTGTGATACTGATTTGTGATACACGCTGTGTGACTGTACGTGGCGTGAGCTTGACGTCGCATAAATGTGCACAACCTACCAAAACGAGACAAGGCGTTGGGTAGCATCGGGTAGCGTCGCATAGCGTTGCATCGGGTATGTGTTCCCCTCCTCTACGGAACTAGTTTTTACACTTTACTCATAGGAGAAGCATTCTTTAGTAAATATCAGCTGTGGATGATTTTTGTCCTGGTTGATTTTCCTTGATCCAGGACATTGTTGTACAATATGCCCATTGTTTTAACGCGCGATATAAGTTGTTTTAAAATGATCAACTGATGAAGGAACAAGCTTTTTTATGGACCCAAGTTGATTTAAACGTTTTTTATACAAGTACGTGATACATTGGGATTTCTCTTTGGATCTATGACGATTTTTATTGGTTATTTGTCAGAAGTTTGTTTCAAAAAGTACAGCATTACACACTATATCAAACAAAATGGCTTCATCAAAAAGATCAAAGGTTAGACCAAACTCAATTTTATGACTGTGAGATGTTTTGGTACAATCTAATGGACGAATAGACTTAAATATAACATTATGAAAAGCTCGTTTATCATATAAAATTTGATTTACATTACCTTCGATACATGCTGAAGAAAACACCATTCTTAATATGCAAATTGTAATTATTAGATAAAACAGTTTTTAAAGAGTACGTTTCCACCTCATAAAAAGTTTATTTTATGTAATATGACCCAACGTAAGATCCAAATACATAGACAAAAAAAACGGGCGATTGTAAGTTCCCTTCTTGTCCACCCGTTGAATTTGAATCGTTGAAATTATCTGACGGAAACTTGAACTAGAACCGAGTTGATTACATTGTTGAAGCAATTGCAAAATATAGCTCAGCTACTGCTGAAAGTATGAAAGTCTCGCTTGCTTATTTTATTTCAAATCTAGTGGCTTGATCGAGAAGGGCAATCGATTTCTACGATTCGACCTACTTTGGAAACCCATTTTTATACTTTCCACGACACGACTATCGGTACAATTGTGTTAAAAAACCACAACAAAATTTTTCCCCGATTGTGTAATGACAAGTTAAATGAAAACAAATTCTCCTTTTATCTACTTCTGTTAAAAGCCGTTCACTTTTCTCATTTACTAAACTAATTTATGTCAATCTCAATGTTAAAAGCGACCCATCAATTCTGCCAGGTTGAACTCCTCTCATGCTAAACGTTACGTGTTGAAAGTTTCCTCCCCAAGACTTTATTAAAGTTTCAGTAAAGTAAGATTACAAATAAAAAACTTTTTGCACTTTTCCGGCTTTCAAGAAATTACGATAAACGCAAAATAATCTTAAACCAACGCCATCGAAAATCTGATTATTGTCTCGGAAAATATGAACGTATGAACGTACAAAAAAATTGTTAGTTTAAAGGCAAAATTATTGACCTTTTGAGTAATTAAAGAAAATGATTCTAACTAAAATATAATTACATGTTCATTTAAATTAATAATCAGTTATTTATTTGCAGTACATACACTTATTTCACCTTTCATATTTTGGTATATTATCTTTCACCAATAAATAATTGCTATCTATCTATCTATCTATCAGTTATTTATTTGCAGTACATACACTTATTTCACCTTTCATATTTTGGTATATTATCTTTCACCAATAAATAATTGCTAATTAAAAAGGAGGGATGAAATAAGTGTATAAGTCTTTTATGGACTTATCTTACTTCACAATTAAGAAATATTTATTTTTTACATTTAAGCACTTGCCCTTGGAAACTGAGCTTTCCTCCGGCCGGTTATTCTCCCCCTCACTCCCTCCCTCACTTTCTCTTTCTCTCCCCCCTCTCTTTCTCGTTTAACCTATTACGCTAATAAATACATTCATTGACGTGAGTGTTTAGTAAATTTCACACAATTACATTTGGTAGTAGATGTAAGCCCATTACGGCACTAAGGGAAGACAGAAATGTGTATTGTCATTGCTGCAAGACGGAAACCTTTCCACAGTGCCCGCCAGATCCTAAATGAATACAGGATGTTTTGGCAAGGCCTATATCAACACAAACTATTCGTAATCTCGTAATCATTTCTGGGAAGTTGACCTCAAATCGTATGACCCATTGAGACGACGTGCAGCAACTCCGGAGAATATGGTGCAGCAAGCGCCTAGAAGACCAATTGGAATGTTGTTATGATTACTGATGAGTCGCATTTCTGTCTGTTTAGTGATAACAGGCACCTAAGAGTCTATCGAGAAGAGGGGATGCGTAAATGGCCCATTTTGTGCTCCCTTCAGTGCCGTTTGGAGGAGGCGTTGTAATGGTCTTGGCTGGGATTTAATCTGAAGGACAAACTGGACTCCATATTGTTGAAGGCAACCTCACAGTAGTGCGTTATGTCCAAGAAATTAACTAAGAATACATCCCTCAAACCAAGGATCTCATTGGCAGGGATTTTCGATTTCTGGATGTCGATGCCAAACCTCATAGATGAAGAGTTGTTCATCAATATTTAGAAAACCTGGGAATTTCCCATCTGCCCCTTCTCCCATCGTCTACAGACCTCAAACCTATTGAGCACATGTAGATGCGTTGCAGAGAAGACTTTTCGATTTCCATCCTCAACCAGTTGACCTAGAACATTCGTTTCCTACTGGGGTCGCAATGTCTTTTAACGTTGATGTTCTTTAGCGTGCGCACCTAGCCTTCAGGGCTTATCACACGTTTAGATTCTCAAGATAGGAGCGACTCACCTCCGCGCACGGAAAATCTGCTTAACCGCCAGACCTCATAGAGGCAGAGTTTTCATCAATGTACATACAATTTGGGATTTCCCATTTGCTTCTTCTCCCATTGTCTCCAGATCTCAATCCCACATGATGAGCACATGTTGGATGCGTTGCAGAGAAGGGTTTTTCGCTCACCATGCGCAACCAGTTGACCTGCAACAACCGAGTGCAGCGTGGCATCATCTATGGACTGAAATTCCTTATGAAATTAGTCACACCACCTGTATGCCTAAAAGGTGCGCGGAGGTGTAAGCTTACCGAGGGCATTAATCGCGGTATTAATTGTTTAAAAAATATTGTGTCCAATAAAACAAATGTTCATTAATAAAAATTGCTTGTAATCAAAACTAAATAATA